GTAGTAGTCTCTTCAAGGATGCTTTTGCTTTTGTAGAGTTGCGCTTGCACCTCACATGTGGCAAAGCACACCTAAAGAAAAAAGGATGGGGACAATAACTTAAAACACCTGTCAAAATTACAGAGAGCGTATGCTTGAATGAATGTTATCTAGAAAAAAAAGAAACCTTAATTAGGCTGCAGAATATTACTTGTAAGTATGCAAAATGGAACCAGCACCAAACGCCTTTACCACGTTATGTTAGCCCTGGACCAAAACCGCATTCAGAAGCTCACATTCGAGAGGACTCACAGGCAAATCCCAAAGCTAAGTTCAGTTAAACTTAAAAAGTTTTTGCAGAAAATGCAATGAACACACGCCCGGAGCCAGCAATCACTTGCTGTTCACCTGGAAGGCGGGGGTGAAGAAGCTCGCCCGCCCTACTTCGGGAGGAGGAGGAGGGAAGCGGGCTCAGCTCCCTTCTTCGCTCTGGCAGGTGCCCGTCAGTGTCCACCCGGGCCCCCGGGGAAACGCGAGCGGCCTCTCGGGACGGGGAGTGCGGGGCAGCCGCCGCCGAACGCCGCTCCTTACCTTTGCCTGGCGGCGATGTCCTCCCGGTCGCGGGTCGAGCGGGACTGCGGGGGCGGTATCCCGCGGGAAGGCTGCCGGGGAGCTGCTCCGAGCCTCCCGTCCACACGTCCGCGTCCTCCTTCCCTCGCTGCTCTTCTCCCTCCCCGTCGCGCATCTGCCTCCGGCCGCGAGGGCCGCCGGCACCCCCTGCGCGGCCGCCGCGGGCGGGGAGCGGAGGGACCGGGGCTGTTCCGTGCGCCGAGGCCGCCACCGCCGGCGGTCCCTGGCGTCCAGCTGCAGGCGGCGCTGCCGCCGCCTCCCACAAAGGGCAAATTCATCTTCCACGTCCCGAGAGCGGCGGCGGAAGGGCTCCGTGCCGAGTGGGTCCCACGGCTACCGGGCGGCTGCGGGGGGAGGATCTCTCTCGGTTAAAAAAAAAAAAAAAAAAAAAAAAGCCTCTTGTGTTCTGGAAAATGTCGAATTATGTCATGCCAGGACGACAACTTGTACCAAGATCACCTTAAATTATTAGAAAGCGTCAGTGCTCTCCTTTTCCTAGTCTTTGGTTCTTCGGTGGGGCTTTTGAAACAGAGGTTGTTGCTACCTACACGCAACGCGTGTGGAATTCACAGGCGTGTGGAATTCATCAAGCTTTGTAGCCCAGCTTGATGATGTTCTAAGTACAAACTCTCCCTAGTAGAAGGTAGCGATACCCCGGCAATGTTTTCCATTTACAATGGGTTTAAAAATGTGTAATTGTACATGACAGACTGTTCCAAAACCTATAGACCTGTCAAGCAGAAATTCACAGATGCGAACCTTTAAGGCGTAAATGAATTGACAGTGTTTCTTTTTCTAAAGTGTGAGTTACATAACGTTTGCATAGCTCACTGGCACATACATGCACTATTCATTGCAAAGCTCTCCCAAGGTAGTGGGAGGCCAGGAGTGAACATTCACCACAGGTTAGATTCTGTCCTTGCCGTACTTCGCTACAGAAACAACCCTGCGAACAGTTCTCCGTAGAGACAAGCATGTGAAACCCCGAGGGGAGAGCGCTTTTACCATCCCACTCCTCGGTGGCAGCAGGGGGATGCAGGAGCGTTTTAGAGGGCTGTTGCCTGCAGGAGCTACAGTCATCTGTGCAGAGTTCCCAGGCTCTTCCTGGAGATCTAAATACTGGATCTAGCTAGCACTAGATCTAAGCATTTCATAAAACGCGTAACAGACATGAGTGCTTTGACTGAACATACAGTTGTAGGTGTTACCAATCAAAGAAAGCTGTAATTCTCAAACCATGCAGAGTAAGATTTGACTTCATGGTAAGTAGAAGGTTAACAGAAATCCCAGTGTGACAACACAACAGTGTTGTCATTCACACACAGATGGAAAACGTAACTTCATATACTGTTTTGATTCGTTATTTATCTCTGATGTTTTTTATTACTTTACAATTTTGTTGAATTTTGCATATACTTATACTGAATCATGGCACATATAGGGATTTCCAAAACGAAGTGAAACTGTTTAGACTGATTCATATCAATTACACATTTCATGTTTGAGAGTATTTGTATTTATAGGGATAACTTTTTAAGCTTCTTAGGGATAAGACAGAGATGACAAGTGTGGATGATGCAATAGCCTGCTAATGCTGAAACACTTGGACGAGATATGAAAAGGGGAATGAATGCAGGGTTTCAGAAGTGAGCAGGACCCTCTTAGGAAACATTTCACTAATCAGTTGCTCTTATCAGTCAACAGATGTAAAATATCTTGCACAAAGATGCAGTGGAACACTTGGAGATACTCAACTTATGTTATTCATCACACCATAACTTAACTGCATACTACTCAGTTTTCAAGTTTCTCTTGTCTTGTAAATTGTATTAATTAGCTCATTTATAAGTTCATATTTAGATTCCTGCTTTCAGTAGCAATTAAATAACCCTTAGATTCAAAAGCCACATTCTGCTTCTAGTGTTAATAAAGATGTACATGGCATTTACACAGTATTTTCTCAGTATTTCATAGACTAGGCAGTTTGACATTTCTAGGAAACATGTTGTCGCATGACTGTTACAGAGAAATTGGAGTGCATACGTACATATTTATAAGACTCATACAAGAACACAAAACAACACTACCTACGTTACTTAAAAGTAGCATCCCATCATGTATTGTTCTGGTATTTTACTCTATGGATGAAATTCCTAATGAGAGGTACTTAGTATCTACTTTCATGAAGGGCACTTTCTCTGCAACCCACAGATGACTTTTTCTGTAGTTTTGCCCACAGCAGATCTGCTGTTTTCTGCATTGATGGCGGGACACTGCAGTAACCAGTCACTTTGGAAACAAATGCAAACCTGGGGTACTTTGTATACTCTGGAAAGCCTACACATCTGTTTCCAAAACCTTCTCATAGACTGTAGTAAGCTCTACACCAAGAGCCAATAAACATTGCTTGCTAATACAAGCTGCTCTGAACTAACTGAAAAGAGCTGTTTATATTAGTTAATAGTGGCTGGTAACTGCGTTTAAAACTGCACTGCCTGGTGCACTCCAGTATACAATACAAGCTTGTAATGTATCTTCAAACATGCCAGCTGCTTCTTTTTACAGCACCTTCAAACCGTTTTCAACATTTAATTCTATTGAGCTATGATGTCTAAGAAACATACCCTTTGATATCTAAAAGTGAGCCCTAAGTTCCTCCAGGATAACTATGTTTTATGGAACTGGTGTTTCCAGATGGAGCTAGCTGCCAAAACTATGAGTGTCCTTAACATTAGGATTCTGGCAGTCGAAGAGCAGCCTCTCTGTGATGGAATAAGAAGAGCAGGCTGTAGGAAGCAGCTCTTGCACGAACATTTAAGAACCTCTTAGAATGACTTACCCCTTTGCAATTTGTCCTTCTTCCAGGACCAAGGTTTTTAAGTTGCATTTAGAACCCTTCACTACACTGTCTAAGCACTTTAGATAATGTTAACATTTTATAGCAATATAATTGTCTCATCCAGGTCTTTCACCTCGCAGGTGAGATTGTATCATTAAGTTAACTTCATCTGACCAGGAGAAGAAAAGGCAGAAATATAGGTGTTGATACAATGAAGCACCCCAAAGCAATATATTGAGAATGAGCATTCTTACTCATAGTCAAAGTGAGAAGATAAACCAGTTTGAATTTGTTTCCTTGAATTTAGTGATTTCCTTTTGAAACATATCTGATTTTTTTTTTCAAATTGGTCCCCTCCTTCTCTCAAATTCTAGCTTTGCTGATTTTTTCCAAAAGTCTTTTTAATCCCTATTGTCTCAGTCTTGTCTGGGAGATGCAACAACCAATTATTAAACTGTTGACAGCATACTGAAACTACTCCATAAACTTGTAAATCATAAAGATACTATGAAAGGCAGAGAAGGTTTCAAAAACCAAACTCGGAAGTTAGTTACCACAGCTGTTGAAGTTCTGCCAGAAGAAACCTGTGACAAAATGAAATTTACTTGTATGTAATATACCAGTTTCTAAAATAATGGATTCAGTCTATGTTTGAGGGTCTGTCTGCTACTAATGTGGTACGCCTTCATGAAAAGGATCAACAAAACCATTATCTTCTATTTCTCCTCAAGATGCAGATACTAGTCTAATGTGTAGAATATTAACATAGGTAATACAACTAGGTAAAGCGTCTCCATTAGGTAAATACATGCCTCTTTACAAAATGACAGTCTAATTTATCATCACAACCTGAAGCACAGCCTTTGGATGTCTTCTGTCATGATTTGAACTAATTCAAACCTATTCATCTTATGGGAAATAGTGTGTTGTATTCAAACATCTGTGTTCTGCCATTTGTGTAGCCCATGGCTCAATGATATTTTTGTCTCCTTATTGTGTGTTAACAAGAAGCTTCTTTAATTACGTATTGTTGGCAAATAATTTACATTTTCCCTTTTAAAACGACCACCATCTGTGATTGCACCAGCCTTAAAATAGCTTTAAAATAAGGAATCTGCATCTCTTTTGCCTAAATTGGGTGGTGATTAATATATGCTCCCCAGACATTTCTTTTTTACACAGTATGTGAATTGTAGTATTTCCTAATACCTCTGGAACTGGTTGCCCAGAGAAGTTGCGGACCCTTGGGAAGTGTTCAAGGCCAGGTTGGATGGGGCTTTGAGAAACCTGATCTAGTGGAAGGTGGCCCTGCTTACAGGTGGGGGTGCTGGAACTAGATGACTTTTATGGCCCCTTGCGTCCCAAGTCATTCTATGATTCCATGATTCTAAGTATTTTGTAGTATTTGTGTCACACATATTTTCTAGTTTTACTACAGGACTGTGCTTTACACTCTTCTAAGACTAAAAATTCCCAGGAGTGTGACAGTCTTTCCACTTCCTCTCTTTTACTACCCCTTTACCTGATCCCTGCCAAAGTAAGAGCCACATACCTAGAGCTCTTCACACCAGCCAAGAACCTGCTGACGGTACAACACAGCTTTGGGTCAAATTATCAGCACTGCCTACTTCGGGCTGCTTTCCTCTGACGTATTGTCCGAGTACTCCTGACTCCTGCTGCAGGCATGTGAGCCCAGCCTGGCCTCCTCTCAGGTTCGAAGATTAGGTCTTAAGTCTTAAACTCGGGGTACAGTAGGAGTGGAACTGGGCCTCGGCTCTCTCGGGGCCTCCCGCGACTCCTACATTTTGCAGGAATAAGGAGGAGAGCTCACCCCTCAGCCCCTGTTTCGGAGGCCGTTTCCCGCCGTTGGCCGCAACCCCTGAGCCCGCCCCGGCCGTTAGAGCCCGGCGGGACTGCCCAGCCCTTCCTTCATCCCGCCCGGGCAGGACCGCAGGGATGCGGCCGGGATCCCACGCAGGGATGCACGGTGGGGAAGGGGAACTCTGCACCAGCCCCCGCGGGGCGGAGCCGCGGCGGAGGGAAAAGGGAGCAAGCGGCGAGAATGTCACACTCCTGTGAATTGTTAAACTTCGGCGTGCGTAAAGCGTAGTAAATGTAGAACGGGCGGTAAAACTAGGAAATATATTTGACACAAATAGTACAAAATACTTAAAATCACGTAATGGTTTGGGTTGGAAGGGACCTTAAACATCACCTAGTTCCAACGCTCCTGCCACAGGCAGGGACACCTTCCGCTAGATCAGGTTGCCCAGAGCCCTATCCAAACTGGCCTGGGGCACTTCCAGGGATGGGGTATCCACAGTTTCTCTGGGCAACCTGTTCCAGAGGTGTTAGGAAATGCTATCCTGCGTACAGAAAGAAAGTCTGGGGAGTGCATATTAACCACAGCCTAATTTAGGCAAGAGAGGTGCAGATTCCTTACTTTAAAGCCTTTTCTAAAGCCGGTGTAATCACAGACGGTGGTCGTTTTAAAAGGCAAAACATAATGTTCCCCCATTCCCCCCGCTTCCCTCAGCGGGGGGGGCGGGCCGGGCGCCGCACGCGACCTGACGTCAGCGCGGGCGGGCGCGCCGTCACGCGCGCCCTCCCGAGCCCTCCCCGGCCCTGCCCGCGCCGGCCGGGCCGCGCGCTCTGATTGGCCGCCGCCTTCCCGCTTCCTCCGCGCCGCCCGAGAACCCGCCATTTTGAAAACCTTGTTGATTCCGGGAGGGAGGGAGTGAGCGAGGGAAGGAGAGGGAGAGAGTGCCCGGCGGCCGCGGGGCTGCGCCGCGGCGGGGGTGCGTGTGTGTGTCGCTGCGCCCGGACCCGCCCCGTCCGCCGGGAGCTGTCGCCTCCTGGTGCCGCCACCGCATCCACGCCCGAGGAAGGAGCCGGGAGCCGCGGCTCGATCCGAGGTGGGTCCCGCCGCCATGGCCGTAACGGCGCCCGAGAGCGATCCCGCCTCGCCGCGCCCGGGCCGGGCGGGGACGGGTTGTGACGAGGGGCGGTGGAACGCGGCCGCCGCGCCGCCGGGCTCCCGTCCCGCCCTGGGGACACGCCGTGTGTGCGGGGCGCTGGTCGCCGCGGCCACCTCCCGGCCCGGCCCCCGCCCGGGGTGTCTCCTGGGCGCTGCGCTGTCCTGCGGCGGGAGCGGGCGGAGCGGTCCCGATCGGGGAGGCGATGGAGCCTTGGCCGCCGGGCGCTGCCCACAGCCTGCGCTTCTCTCTGGCCTCCAGACTGCAGGTCGGGAAAGGGGGTACAGGCGGCGAGTCCCCGTCTGAAAAGTCCCAGGCGAGGGTGAGGGACCCTCTCCCGGCCAAAAGCGTCCCCGAGTTGAGTCTTCCTAAAGGTGGATCCCAGAGCCCGTTTTCTCTGAGCAAGCCGTCCTTATGAACTCAGGTGATAAAATGCTGGAAAGTCTCTTAACTTCCCTATTCCCCCGCTGCTCCCGTTGAAAGGGGAGGGAAAAACGGCTTGTAGTGCTTCCCATGCTTTTACAGTCGTGCCTTCAAGTAAAATTCAGACTGTAATGCCGTGAAAATGACTTCTATGTGTCAAATGAAATATTGGTAGTAATACCTTGAATGGGTTTTTTTTTTTCCCCAGTGATTTAGCAAAGAGCAGGAAACTACTTTTCCCCTTACTGTTGGTAATAAATATTAACTTGCACTTTCTGTCACTTGGAGCACTGCTGCTCTCTGCCACCTGCTAGTACTGCATATAAGCAGTTGATTTAAATGTTATTTATTGAACCTGACCTCTTGCAGATAATATTGGCTTTAATATCAGAAGAAGAAAATGCTTAATTGTGTGATACTTTTCCACAAGTGCTTACAGCATCATTTGTGTATTTTGTTCCAGACCTAAACAGTGAAAATTTTTGAAAGCTGGAGTTATTCTAAAATGAATCATATGATTGTCTTCCTTTACTGGATAGACATTTTCTCTTAGCATGGCAATGGTACATGGAAAATTAAGATATTTTAAAGTTAACATTTAAGTCACTTAAAATGCTAAGAAAAGACTCTTAAGTATGTTAAGTACGAAGCATTTATTATTTTCTGTTATAGATCTACAAATTAAAACCAAAAAACATTTTCATGCCCTAAGATGCAGCAGCTGTCTGAATTATGAATGCAGTGTTAATTCTTTTCTGTATTGCTTGCAACTTTCTTTTTTTTATCACTTTTCTGTTCCCATTTCGCATCTAAATATGTAACCTGTTTAAGTTACTAGGAAACTTGCATGCACAGTTAATCAGGAATAAGTGCAGGGCGCACTAAAATAGCGATAGCTTAAAACACTGCAGTTTTTAATAGATAACAGTATCAGCTGCTTTGAGTGGGTGTTTCCGAGTGCTTCACAAACAGCTTGTGTGCGAAAAAAAATTATAACCTTTTAGAGTGTTCTTAACTGGACTAGTTGCAGAATAGACGGCAACTTCTCCTGAAAAATTTTCTGTATTGTGTGTAGCAGAACATTTTAGCGATAAGAGAACGTGAACAATCATAGTACATTGTTTCTACTGCACAGGGAGATTATTTTAAAAAGCAAAATTCCTGTATTTTTCATGTATATTGCTATATTGGTGATGGTTTTCCTGACTGCTTTTTACAGAACCGTACACCATGTCTTCTGTTGATTCCTCAAAAGAAGATACAATGTCACCAGAAAAAACGGATGAGAAACAACCTGAAACTGAAAACAAAGCTGAGGAAAGTGATGAAGATGAAGAAGAGGAAGAAGAGGAGGAGGAAGAAGAAGAAAAGGGTGCTTGTTTTTCCATTGAATAAGTTCTCCTTTATTAAATGCCAAGCTGCTGAATGAGGTCTCCTGTGATCTTGGCTAATTGTACAATTATTGAGGAGATTCCATGGTACACCTGTCTCATGGGTCATAATAGCTTCCCAGTAGACTGTAGCAGGAAACACTAGAAAGAGTAATGCTGATTTATCTCAAGAAAGATTGAAGGAATTGCCAGCATCCTGGGTTTCTACACTAGGGTTGTTTTGTTGTTCTATAAATTTTTCAATCATTATAGGAGGTAGTATCCTTTATCAAATTATTTTTTGCCAGTAACACTCTGAAGTGATCCATGTTTGCAAAAGAGAAGCTTGTGAATGTGCAGTACTTTTGGAAACAATACAGATGTCTTTGCTTAACTACAGTTATTAATTTTCCGGGTACCCAAATGTCATTATATTGGAGAGGCAGAAATTTCATTAGACCAATTTTATCAGTAAAAATTGTGGCAATATGAGAAGATGAGCAAAGCAGGTATTGTGTTGTGGTATGTAATTGAAGAGGTTAGTCAAGGAGTACAAAACATGATGAAGGAACTACTGTGCAAAAATGTTAATTTCCATTGTGAAGTCTCCAGGCATCTGTTTTGCAAATGAAAGCATTCATGGAAATAGAGCTGCAGTATGGCACAGTGAAAACCAAGTCACCAATGGTCTTGGATTCTTGAAAGAGAACAAGTTTGTCTCTAGGAAAGGCAGTGGAAAGAAAACAGAGTATGCTGTTTGGAAAATAATAGAGTAATCAGAATTAGATTTTTAGTAACAATTTTTCTTTTGTACACACAAGTATGTTTTGCTTTGTTTTTGGCAGACACATACCAGTTTTGATTGTGTTCATACAGGTTTGAAGCTGCTTTCAGATGTTAAAGCCAGGACAACCCATCTGTTTAGTGCTAAGGATAGTTTGATTCGAGGTGAAGTATTTTAGGATGAAATGTTTAGGCAAAGCTTTAGGTGTTTCTCCGAAAGTGGTATCATTGAAGTAATGATGTGCAATGTATACTAAACATATTCATTAGTAAGCAGTACCAGAATTACTGGGAATAATATTCTTGTAGTATTTGTGATACTCATATTTTGCCATGAAGTGCTTCACAGCATAGACACGTACAGTCCCTCTGCACTTGTGCTTCTGCCTCTCCTGCTGATATCTGTGGTTCCTCCAGTCCAGTAGTGGGAAAAGAATTTGTCTGCAGACATCCTGGACTCTCCTTTTGCCCATCTGGTGGCATTATTCTTCTCAGGAGTGCTATGTGTGGAGCTGTGCACTGTCCAAGAAGGAGACTATGCAAACAGTGTCACTTCTGTACCTCAAAAAGGCCATGAAGGGAGAGAACGATGGGTTTCTGAAAATGCTGTATTCTCCATTTGGGTGGATGTGAGGGAAATTCACCCCCACTTCCAATGGGGTGAATTTCCTTTCAGGAAATACCTAGTCTTGTCGTGCACATACCTTACGTTGGATACAGGATTGTGGTTAAGAACTAGAGACTTCTAGTTATGTATATGTGGCTCCATAGAATCACGTTGATTTATTAGCCAAGGTCTGAAAGCATCATAGCACTTGCTTATATCCTCATCCATTTTTGGTTTGTCATTTCAAAGATTCAGTGTCGTGTTGCCTGTCTCTACAGTCAAATCTGCTCATGCAATGAAAAATAGTGTTTTAAGGAAGCTGTCTTTTGCAGAGAAGAGTCTCATCGTTGAAGGAAAAAGGGAGAAGAAGAAGGTCGACCGGCTGACCATGCAAGTGTCCTCGTTGCAGAAGGAACCTTTTACAATTACACCAGGTAAGCTTGACCTCTCACATAAGAATGGTGGGTGTTGGGAATGATAATGAAACCTCTAAAAAGATCAAATTATTAATCTGTTGTAGGTGAGACCTACCTTAAGAGTCATGATCCATTTTAAAATAATTAGGCTACTACAATTATATGAAAAGCCTCCTTTATTTTGTGGCATCAATTTAAACTGTAAAAGTTACATGATGTTTAAACTTACTCAGAATAGGTAAGTACCTTTAGTACCTCACCAACAAGAACAAAAGCAGGAGCAGCTAGAATAGAAAGAAATGCCAAATCCTTGTACCC